ACTGGGTTCAGTCAGTGAGCCAGTGAGAGACCAAGAGAGGGTAAGCAAGATGGAAGCTAGAGTCCTTTTGTTGCCTAATCTTGGCTGTGACTTCCCATCACTGTGTGCCATATTCTACTCATTAGAACCAAACCACTTGGATCAACCCACACTCAGGAGCACAGATACCAGGAGATGAAAATCACTGGGAGCCACCTTAGAGCTGCCAACCACGCTGATCAAAGGATAGTTTTTCAGCATTTTTACTCAAAGTTGCAATACAAAGTTCTGCTAGAGAGGTATAGAAATTTGTTCAGAATTTCCGTCAAGGCACATCTCTGTATGATGAGAATAAATATAGGTGTTTACAAATCAGTGTAAGGAGGTTTTGGGGAGAATTTTTTGTTTGTTTCTTGTTTGCTGCTGCTGCTTCTTCTTACTATTATTTTGCCTTGAACTACAGCCTCAAACTCCTGGGCCCAAGTGATCCTTCTGCCTCAGCCTCCTGAGTAGCTAGGACTACAGGCACACACCACCACACCTGGCATTTTTTTTTCTTTTTTTGTAGAAATAGGATCTTGCTATGTGGCTCAGGTTGGTTTTGAACTCCTGGTCTCAGGTGATTCTCCTGTCCCAGCCTCCCAAAGTGCTAGGATTACAGGCATGGGCCAGTGTGCCTGGCCTGTGAAAGTTTTAAGCAGAACTAGACTCAAATAAACTTTTGAAACTCACATGTGGCAAAATTATATCGTTCTTGCTGGCTTTGAGGGTAGAGCTCCTCAATCAGTGTGCCACAAATGGAGGTTATTATATTGTGAGACATGGATGCCTTAGTGGGACGAGGTGTGATAGTGTCCCCCAAGACACTTGCGGATGGCAAGCAGAGCAAGGTCCTTTATCCCTATGCTGCCATGCTGCAAGGATTGCAGTCAAGAAGGTGCTTTACTACCTGGCACCTTCATCAGCAGGCCACTTGGAGCATGCCAACAGGGACTCAACATGAAGAGGAAGTCTGTGTCTGCTGGGGAAGTTTGTGCTCTGGGTGCCCAAAGAGTAGAGAGAGTAGGATTGGGGAGTCTGAGCGAGGACTGCTGACTGCTGTAACTTCTGACCCAGCATTAGCCCTTAACCTCTACTTTCACATTTATTCGATCCTTCCATCTATTTGCAGCCAATGGGTCCTTTTAGGAACACCTAAGCTAGTTGCAGGGTAACTATGATAACAATGTGTATATGATACAAACGCATTAGCTGGACTTGAATATTTTCAAATTCCATTTATATTAATCACAAGAAATGTAAATATGTCAAAGAAGAAAAGAAGGGCTGCTTGTCTTTAAATACAATTTAAATGGCAGTAAATGTTTAAAGTGTTATTTTTTACTTTTTCTATCACCACTTGTAAACCATCCCTTATCAATAGTGACTATCAAGAATTTGAAGAGCTCTTTATTGAAGAACATTGATAAGAATGACACATAACCATTTTAAGCACAAATCACAAAATAAAAACTTAGGGCTATGGAAGCAAGCTGAAATTATTTATTAAAATTTCAAAATATTTTATTTAGAAATTTTAGACAAATTTAATATCAAATATCTTCCCTTATATTCTGTATTATATTCATCAGAATTATAAACAAAATGTAGTCAATGGTTCCATAGTTTAAATGATGATATCCCCCCGAAATTTCATGTTGAAACTTAATCCTTGATGCAACAGTATTAAAAAGTGGGGTCTTCAGGATGGGATTAAGTCATGAGGGCTCCATCCTCATTAATGGGATTAGCACTTTTTGAAGAGGGCTTGGGATTGAAAGGAACACCCTCTTACCCTTTGGTTCCTCCTACCATGTGAGAACATAGTGTTTCTCATCTCTGAAGGATGCAGCAAGAAGATGCCCCCTTGGAAGCATAGACAAGGCCCTCGCCAGAGACTGAAACTGCTGACACACTGATCTCCAAAATTGTGAGGAATAAATTTCTGTTCTTTAAAAATTACCAGTCTCTGTTATTTTGTTATAGCAGCACAAATAGACTAAGACATATGGTTCTTCCAAGCCCCATATTCCTCCCAGCTTATCCTAATTAAAACACATGCTATGACCTAAAAACAAGTTTGGGAAGCTATCAAGTTTCTGACTGTTGATTACTAATCTGCTGTTTCTCTGCTTTATACTTAACCATTTATAATTCTCTCTATATTAGGACTAGAAGTCTGCAGATTCCCTTTCTTAGAGTCCTTGACAGTAGCTTCATGTTCATATCTGTCAAATCTGTCAGTGGCAGGCAGGCATTGGGAAAGATCAGAAAGTTGGAAAAACTTTCTATTTCTAAATTCAACCAGAGCTACTGTAGTAACAGAGGGGCCAGTGTAACTGCAGACTCTGGCAACCCAGGCAGCAGCACAGTCTCTCTTTTTTTTTTTTTTAATTTTGTACTGGATTATAGGTTTTGGGGTACATGAGCAGAGCATGCAAGACAGTTGCATAGGTACACACATGGCAGTGTGCTTTGCTTTTCTTCTCCCCTTCACCCACATTTGGCATTTCTCCCCAGGCTATCCCTCCCCACCTCCCCCTCCCACTGGCCCTCCCCTTTTCCCCCCAATAGACCCCACTGTTTAGTACTCCCCTTTCTGTGTCCATGTGTTCTCATTTTTCATCACCCGCCTATGAGTGAGAATATGCGGTGTTTCATTTTCTGTTCTTGTGTCAGTTTGCTGAGGATGATGTTTTCCAGATTCATCCATGTCCCTACAAACGACACAAACTCATCATTTCTGATTGCTGCATAATATTCCATGGTGTATATGTGCCACATTTTTCCAATCCAGTCTATTATCAATGGGCATTTGGGTTGATTCCAGGTCTTTGCTATTGTAAACAGTGCTGCAATGAACATTCGTGTACATGTGTCCTTATAGTAGAACGATTTATAGTCTTTTGGATATATATATCCCAGTAATGGGATTGCTAGGTCAAATGGAATTTCTATTTCTAAGGCCTTGAGGAATCGCCACACTGTCTTCCACAGTGGTTGAACTAATTTACACTCCCACCAACAGTGTAAAAGTGTTCCTTTTTCTCCACATCCTCTCCAGCATCTGTTGTCTCCAGATTTTTTAATGATCGCCATTCTAACTGGCGTGAGATGGTATCTCAATGTGGTTTTGATTTGCATCTCTCTGATGACCAGTGACGATGAGCATTTTTTCATATGATTGTTGGCCTCATATATGTCTTCTTTCGTAAAGTATCTGTTCATATCCTTTGCCCACTTTTGAATGGGCTTGTTTGTTTTTTTCCTGTAAATCTGTTTGAGTTCTTTGTAAATTAGCACAGTCTCTTTCTTGATTGCAGCATGAGCCATGGAAGGACAATTTAGACAGTTCCAGTCCCTGAAGTGGCAGCATTCATAACTTCCCAGCACCAAGTACAGGCTCATGCATGCCAGCCTAGGAGCATCAAGAGCTTTCTGTGTATGTTACCCTTTCTTCCTTTTGCTCTTTCAGCTCTTCCTTCATCTTTGTAAACAATTCCCTGTATTAAATCCCTTGTGTTTGAAATACCTACCATGGTTTCAGGTTTCCTGACTCAATACAGAATAGTATATTGACCTATGTGAGGAGGAATTATTTTTCCCTTCCCAAATATCCTAACATTCCCTAGGAAAGGAAATGTGTTCAACCAGTGGAGGTCCATGGGTAGTGTATCAGTCCATTCTTACACTGCTATAAAGAAATACCTGAGACTGGCTAATTTATAAAGAAAAGAGGTTTCATTGGCTCACCGTTCCTCAGGATGTACAGGAAGCATGGCTGGTGAGGCCTCAGGAAACTTACAATCATGGCAGAAGGCAAACAGGAAGCACATATTTCTTACATGGCCAGAGCAGGAGGAAGAGAGAGAGGGGGGATGTGCTACATACTTTTAAACAACCAAATCTTGCAATAATTCACTCACTATCAGAAGAATAACACAAAAGGGGGAATTTGGCCCCGTGATTCAGTCACCTCCCACCAGGCCCCACTTCCAACATTGGGGATTACAATTTGACATAAGATTTGGGCAGGGCCACAGACCCAAATCACATCAGGGAGCATGTGATGAGGGGCCACTTCCAAGTGGTTCTCTCTTTCCTGAGAAGAAACCCAGTCAATTATAAAGAGAGGGCATTGAAGATGGAGTGGATTAAAAAAAAGCACAGTAGCAGCAAATGGCTTACAGATCTACTGAGTGGGCCTTTAAAAGCCATTTGCAAGTCCTGATTGACTGAATAAGGACTCCTGCTTCAAAATTTACCTTAGTGTTAGAAAAAAATATTCCTTTATTGTTGATCTCTTTTAGTTGCAATTTCATCTTTTAGTTATCATCTATACTTCCCTTAAGTATTTCCTTACTTGGTATTATTAGCAGCTTTGCATCCCATTGGAAAATCATTATATCTGAACAGCATACTTAATCCATTTATCCAGACACCTAGCCTAAATTACAAATATCAAATATTACTATTTCCCTTGAACTAGTGAAAAACTCATAAATCCTGGTGTGCCCCCCTTTTTTTTAGCTCACTGGCTATTGAATAAGAGAGGTGCTTTCTGCATCCCATATTTGACCTAAGATCAACAGAAAAAAAAAGATTAAAATGCTCACTATACATTTACTCTAGAGAGATATAAAAATAGCTTCTTTTTTAGACACTTTTTCTGTATTAACTGACTAATTGTATTCTAAGATATCTGAACCATTTCCAGGAAAGTCTACTACTGGATAAAATATTCTACAATTTATATTAAATTCCTTAAATAGTGGCAGAAAAGGCAAATACACCTAAATTAATTACCTCTACAACTTGATGTACGTTTGTTTATGTGCACCAAATTTTGCTGTATAAAAACACCACAACCCAGCATTCTTCCTTGAACCTTCCTGGATTGCATCTGCTACATAATCAACTGGAGTGATTGTTAAGAATTTGACAGGCCTTTCTCTGCTTCCTCTCTGTCTTTACCTCCCCAGGAGCCATATGAAAATGGAGCAGTATGCGAGGCAAATGTTTATGCCTGGAGAACCCAGGTAGGTATAGATAATACCAGCACCACTGGAGAGACATAGCAATTTGATGCCCTTTCTCTCCCATTTGTTTTGACCTTTATTGAACTAAGTGAAATTTCCCCCCTGAAAAGGGTGTATGTAACTTTAAACTTCAAACTGTCCATTCTTAACAGTGGGCTACAGGGTGGGTTTGAAACATGCTAGTCAGAACCAAAACATAAATTGCAGCCCATTTTAACCTCCATTTGCATGGGATATGTAAAATGGCAATTGATGCCCAGCTTGCCTTTCGGGGTCACTGTGGTATCTATTTGTCTTTAATGACGGTCAATGTAGTGGATTCCAGTAATACTTGTTTGATAAGCTGTGCTGTAAAAGTAGAAATTGAAATTAATCATAAATATAATTACATGAATCTCAGTGGGGGAAGGGTTTCATAGTACTACCCAACAATGTATTGTACAACAGCAATTTTCTCTCCTTCTGGGCTGTCTTTCCTTAATACTTCAACTTAAAGATCTCATTAAATCCAAAGCTGTACACATGTTCTTTTGCAATATGCCTTCTTTCTGTGCCTTATCCTGTGTCATATTTTCAAGTTTGTGCTTGACACTAATAAACATTTGACCATATTTCCCAAAAATATTTCTACAGTTATTTTTATACCACCCTCCTTTATATGTTTCTTGTACCCTTGTTTTTCTGCTTGATTTGCTCAAAAGTCTGTTGTGATAGCAGAAGTAAGCTGATAGCTTCACATTTTAAAAAGTCATTGCCACTTAAAGTTCTGCATTATCAAGCTGGATCTGTCATTACTATGAAAGAAATATTTTGCCTCAACCTGCCTACAGCCCAGCCCCAACTTTGAAAAGTCTTCCTAATCATGGAGCATATCAGAGAGTGATTTAAACACACAACCACTCCAACAACATTAACGACAACAGCAATCAAAGTCTTTAGGGACTGTCTCAATATCCCAACTTCTTTAATAAAAATAAGACTCAGTTTCCTTTTGGACAATCTCTGGCAATGAATAGGGCAGTTGAACCATGAGGACCTTGCTCCGTTTGTGAAACTAACCTTTCCCTTGAAAAGGATGACCTTTTTTTTTGCACTCTGGCCACAAAGAATTTAATATTTCCTAGTTTTGCTCATAGCACAACTGAGAAAAGTCTTTTTTTTATTGAGACAGGAAGGTCACAAAGCGGGAAAACTGGATATAGTCTTCAAAGTCAGAAGCAGAGTTTTCCACAAAAGAGTGCACACACCTCAGTGTAAGGGATTCACTGAGGTTTGTGATGAAACTATTAGGATTTTCTATATCTATTTCTTATCTCATCCTTTGAAAATTGCCATGTATGTATGTGTTCTATAATATACCTAAAATGCCAGTATAATGTGCATGTGTATAATATATAAATAAGTACATACAAAGTCAGAAACTCATGTTCAATTTTTTTTTTAGGGGAACAGAACCCAGAATGTTTGAAGACCACTGATCCAGAATACACAGCTTATAAACTACAGCTGATTTTCCATCCCACAGGAAGAAAACCTCTTGCCGAAGAATTTCCTCTAGCTCTTGTTTAGCCAAATCTATCGATCCAGCTGAGAGGAGAAAGGAGGGTAAACTTCATTATTATTTTCAGAGACACACATTCAAAGGGTATAGGAGACATAGTAACCTATTTTTACTGTAGAAGAGTGGACGACAAGACTAATTCTTCCTAAGGAGATAGATTGGGAAGGTTTTATAGAAGAGATTTCTCAAAAGAAGTGTGGCATAGAAAGCACTGATAAACTCTTGATAAGAGAAAGTGGATAAGGGACATTTTGAAAAGAAAGAAATAGCATAAATAAAGGAAAAAGGAGGCAAAAATACAGGGCTTGTTTGGTGACTAGCATGAGGCTCCATGTGATTAAAAGGTAAAGTCCAATAGGTGGAATGGGGAGACTGCAGTGGCTGAGGCCATTTCATGGAAGCCTTGAATGCCTTGCTAACTTTAACATTTTTAGAAAGCAATGGGAAAAAACCCGAAGTTTTTGAGTTTATTTTGCTTTTAAAGCTAGGAACTCACTTTTTCCAAGTTTTACACTAGAAGGAGTAATTCGGCAGCATTGTGTATCCGGGTAACTAGGAGAAGAACACCTGGGGCACTGATGCAATTGTCCAGAAGGCAAATACAACAGCCTAAATTATGACAATGAAATCGTGAGAATGGAGAAGATGCATTCAGAAGACATCATAGAAACACATTTGGAAGGACTTCTCAATTAGATGGGGGACTGGAAGAATGGTACTGTTAATTAAAATTGAGTTGTAAGAAAGACAAAGTGTTGGGTAAGAGGTGAGGAGGGTAGTGACTTAGGTCAGGTTTTCTGAGATGATGGAGATTTGCATGTAGGAAGTTTGTTGAGGAGTTTGATGATTCTGTAGGAGGACTCAGAGGATTCAGCATATAGTTGTACTCACAGCTGTAATTTATTATAGCAAAAGGATTTTGAGAATGACAGCAAAGGGAAAAGGTGCATGAGATGAAGTCCAGAGGAAATCAAGAACAAGCTTCCAAGAGTTCTTTCCCAGTGGAGTCAAACATGACATGTGCGGCAACACTTAAGAAATGATGTCCACCAGGGAAGCTCAGCTGAGACTCCGTGCCTAGGGTTTTTATTCAGGACTGGTCCTGTAGGTATTCTTAGCCTAGCATGTAACACAATTCCAGGCTCCTGTAAGAAAAGCAGGTGTTTGGCATAAACCACATTGTTTTAACAAACGGTTTAGGCATGATGAGCTTCTTTTATCAATTCTGGGAATGGTATGAATCCTACTGAAATCCTAGTTCCTAGATGTCAGCCACGGGCCAAACTTGTAAGCTTCTGTTTCAAAGAATGGCAGTCCTAGGCTGCCATGCTAACTCTTAGCATGGGTGTGCTTGTAGGAATAGTACCTATGTAGAAGAAAGGGCACACGACAGGGCCAAGGGAAAATGATTCAACTGAACCAAAAAAGCAGTTGCAACAAAGGCCTTAGCCAATTGCACAGACAAGCTCTGGAGCTAAATGGCTCTTCAAAGATGTGCTAAATTGAGGTGGCGGGTTAGGCCTTCCTACCCTCACATTGACCAGATATTTATAGATCTCTGAAACTAAGAGAAGCAATTCCTTGAGCATTTCTTGGGGAAGGAAGACGGAACTTAGCAACCTTTCAGAAAACCGAGTCATTGAGCATTTCAGTCCTGTGGTTGTCATACCCCAGCTCTCTCCTCAGAGGACATGATGAACTGAGTGTTGCTGGTTCTATCAATGGCTCCATTGCTTCTTTGCTAATGAGATCTAACCACACTGAAGACGTTGGAATTCTAATTTAAAAAATTCAAATTCCACAGTATCTAAATACAAGCAATGTGTACATAGGTTATATAGAACAGAAAATTTCTGAAGTATCTTGGCACCTAAGGGCCCTGAGAACAACCCTGAATTTTCTCCAAAAGGCCATATGGAGAGCACCACTCACTCATCACAAATATCTGGCAAAATCCTTTTCCAACCCCACTAGCCACTTAGAGGAATTCTGCCTTGAAATGCTTTGCCAAGCACAACGGAATCTGCCCCACTGCCAGGTAAAGGTAGCATCCTATCCTGTTTGCAAGTAGTTGTGCATACAATGATACTTTGACAGCTTGGTTTTCACATCTCTTTTAAAAAAAATTAGGTCTTCTGATCACATGTAAACTCCAACAGTCTGTATTAAAATTCTTTTTTGGAAATTTAAATTAAATTTATTTTTAGAGACATGATCTCGCTCTGTCACCCAGGCTGAAATGGCACAATCACAGCTCACTGCAGCCTCAAGCTCCTGCATTCAAGACATACTCCTGCCTCAGCCTCCCACATAACTAAGACTACAAACATGCACCATCACACTGAGCTAAGTTTCTAAATCTTTTTTCTAGAGATGGAGTCTTGCTATGTTGCCCAGGCTGGTCCTCAAATTCCTGGCCTCACGTGACCCTCCTGCCTTGGCCTCCCAAAGTGCTGAGATTATAGGCATGAGTCACTACACCTGGCTTACAATTCTTATAATTGAGAAAATTTAGATTTAGAGATTATAGGATGAACACAGGGACTGTCTGCCAGTAAGCAGCAGATCCAGGGCTGAGTTCTGGAGTCGAATCTCCAGTGTTCTTTTCACTCCCCTACAAACATCTGAGTCACTGTCAAATCCCTCTCCTAGAAAACAGACCCAGGGTCCCAGGTGTGCTTCAGGGAAACTGAAAATTCTATTTTTTTTTAATTTAAGAAATTAAAAAAAAATTTATGTTGTTCTAGTTGTGGCTGAAGTGCCGGAATCACTAGCAAATGAGAGACTAACAGACATAACTTAATGAACAAGGACATTATGAAGGTCTGCAAAGAGCAATTCCTGCTTTGGGAATTCAAGTATTCTGCTGTATGAGAGAGATTCTGTTGATTTTGGAAATACCGTGAATCATTTCCTGAAAGAGCAAAATAATGGAGGCTTTTTATTCCAAGTTTCCAAGAAATGTTGTCTAAAGGCAGAAGACACTTGGGAATATCAGGCTATGTGTACAGGCTGTTGTGCCCTGGTCAGTACTGGACCTTTCCTCTTAAACACTGGACAACGACTGGAGAAGCATCTATGCCCTGGCAGGTGCTATCTGCCTCCTGAGTGGTCGTGCAGTTGAGGGAGAAGGCTCATTTCTCTTTGTGCATTTTAGTAGGTTATGTTAGTCGGGAATGCATTACTTTGATGATTAATGAGAGATATCAGAGCCTGGAAACCCAATTATTTGTTTGTTTGTTTGGTTGGTTGGTTTTGAGATGGAGTCTCGCTGTCGCCCAGGCTGGAATGCAGTGGCAAGAACTCGGCTCACTCCAACCTCTGTCTCCTGAGTTTAAACAATTCTCCTGCCTCAGCCTCCTGAGTAGCTGGGACTACAGGCACCCACCACCATGCTTGGCTAACTTTTGTATTTTTAATAGAGAAAGGGTGTTACCATAGCGGGCAGAATGATCTGGATCTCCTGACCTCATGATCCACCTGTCTCACCCTCCCAAAGTGCTTGGATTACAGGCGTGAGCCACCATGCCTGGCCATGAGACCCAATTTTCAAAACTGTAGTAAGGGTCTTTTCATCAGGGAATTTCCAGTGAAGCACACAAGAAACTCAAAAAGGCAAGATTCATGTTGGCATCTGCGAGATTAGTAGATAGTTGTCAGCACTGGTAAAGGCAGAAAGCAGTCAGTATTTCCATCCTGACCCTCTCATGTTCCCCTCAGTCTGTTAGTCCTTTGTAATTCAACCATAAGAATTCACCACAAGTTGAAACTAGAGGCCAATATTTTTTTCTAAGGCTGGGAACAGTTTTCTCAAATGACAGAGTTGAGAGCAGCAAACCTTCCTCAGGCAGCAGGAGGGAAAGAGTGGCGGTGAGACGCAGGGCACATGCAGCATTCTAGCTCCAAGACTGAAACCCGGTTGCCATTGTGTCTCTTAGAACTGTCTTCCTGAATTTTACCCAGATTAAAAAAATTATGGAGATTCTTTAGAACCCAGAACAATTTTTTTTCCCAGATGTTATGGAGCTGCACAGAAGCAGGTAACAACTGACAGACAGTTCTGAAGTTAGTTGTCAATATCCAGTCTGTCACGTCGCCTTTGCTGAGGATGAAAATTTGCCTTTTCAGGTTGACTCAAATGATCTATTTGGTATGTCTATGCTAGCTTCTTACTGGGGGAAAGGCAAAAGGTTCAGCTCTACTGATTACATTTGGCAGTGGCCCTTTTTAAGCAAGTGTCTTAGACACATGGGATCTTTATTTCTTACTGAACAAAACTAAACAGGCTGAATCATAGGGTTAACGTGGCAACAGGTCATGACCTCCACGGTGGCAGTTGTTCAAAGGTAGAACCTCAGTGCTCAGATGTGCTCTAACATGACTATGTTCAGATGTGTCTTCTTAAACTGATATTCATCTGCGTCTCACTCTGAGTGGGGAAAAAACCTCAAGCTGCTTCTTTAAAAAAATTCTCTCCATCAGCAGCAACCATCAACACAGAAGACTTCTATGACCAAATGAGTGGGATGCTTTTTTCCCCATACACCAAGTAATCAACCCCACAGCAGTCACTATCCTCCAATTCAATTCTGACTCTATCTGGAGAGTACATCAGATCTCACAGGCAGAGAGCTCAGTCCCCAAAACTGTCCCCTACTCAGACATGGGTCACAAGTCTGGGCCTCTGAAACTTCTGATGACCAACTTCTAGTTGGGGTTCCCACAACCTTCTCTTTGGGTTTGATTAATTTGCTAGAGCTGATCACAGAACTCTGGGAAACACTGATGTTTACTGGTTTATTATAAAGGATACTACAAATAATAAAAATGAAGGGATGCATAGGGCGAGGCATGGGGGAAAGGGTATGGGGCTCCCATGCCCTCCCTGGGTGTGCCACCCTTGGGGAAGCTCCATGTGTTCAGCTCTCAGCAAACTCCCTTAACTTTGTCCCCATGGGCCTTTCATGGAGACTTCATTTGGATAGGCATGATTGACAACCGTGTGGAAATATAATTGGACAAAAGGGGTATGATCCAATACTAATAGGCTGAGAGGGGAAACTCAGCAATGCCTGTCTGTTCAGATTCTTCTTGGCCTCTCTGTGTAGCATTTCTTCCTTGAGGGCATGGGGCAGACCCCATCTAAAATGGGGATCTTATGACCCACGATCAGACAAAGTAGGTCACATAATTTCTTTATGGCCAGCTCCAAGACAGGAAGGAGGGAAAATATTCCTGCCTTGGGGAGAGAAAAAAGCAGGTGAAAGGAGGGCAGGAGAATGCCAGAGACAGAGGTTCTGTTTTCTGAAGCCTGATTCTAAGGCCAGAAGTGCCCAGCATTGTAACAAGAACCATGGGAGTGAGAAGCCAGGAACTGTGGATGAAAATGAATATATATGGATAATAACACATACATATATAATAATGTCACGCTGAAACACCAGGAAGATGTCGAAAGAGGATGCATGGGACTGGTGGAAGTGTGTCAAGATTTCTACGAACACTGAAGATGTCTTTGGTGGCTGCTGATAAGGCTCTCGGAGGCTTCTGGCTAAGCTGCTTACCAATATCCTCGAAGCTAAGTAGACTTTTGTTTCTTACACGTAATGCATCTCTGAGCTTGATCAGTTGCATGCAAACCAGTGAACTGGTCCACCAGTTTTCTGGGTATTAGAATCACAAATAAATACTCTGTTCACACATTACAAAGCTGAAAAGCTTAATTGGCGCTATTATAAAAATCACAGGCTTTGATTGTAACACCCTAGCAGTGTATTTGTGAAAAGCTGAGTAAAATAGCAACTTTTAATTAGGCAACCAGTTTTTGTATGATACCAAAGCATTTTACAAACCCATTCATTTCAAGAAAAGCCAGGTAAGTAATAGAATTACAGATTCTTAGGGTTGAAAGGAAACTATGCAGCTTCAAAATGTTGGGACATTCCTCTAATTCCAGTGACCGCTTAGTACTTGTTCACTTCAGCCAACATTGGCGGCCATCACCCCATGGATCTTCTCATCTGGAAGTGCTCCACTTCAGAAATCTTAGATTCCAATATCCACTCTCAGAAAACAACCTCCAGACATTTCCGCTGTCCACACAGCTGCTGCTTCTCCCTCTGGCACGTGGCCATCTATGCTATCTGCAGCCTCGCCAGCACTCCCTGGACTTGCCATCTGCATTCTGTCACCCCAAAGCTATATGATGTCTTGACTAGGTGACTTTGCCGCTGTTGTCATTCAACTTAATATTTTTATTGAACTATCTGTGTGAGAATCATTGGCTGGCCCTTTTGTCTGGAGTGTCAGCCTCCTCTCACCCACCCCAGGGGGACTTCCTCCTTCTTTTAACTCCTGCACATCTTTAAGACACAGCCTTGGAAGCACATATTTTTAAAAGCCTTGTCTGGACCAGGTGGCAGCTCATGCCTGTAATCCCACCACTTTGAGAGGCCAAAGTGGGAGGATCTCTTGAGGCCAGGAGTTTAAGACTAGCCTGGCCAACATGGTAAAACCTCATCTGTACTAAAAACACAAAAATTAGCTGGGCATGGTGGCACGCACCTGTAATCCCAGCTACTTGGGAGGCTGAGGCATGAGAATCGCTTGAACCTGAGTAGGCTGCAGTGAGCCAAGATTGCGCACCACTGCCATCCAGCCTGGGCAACAGAGCAAGACTCTTTCTCAAGGGGTAAAAAGAAAAAGATGCTTTTCTGACCACTGCCTCTATTCTGCCCTTTCTAGTCACACGAAGTCGTATGCCCCCAAGACATCTGCATCAGTGAGTCATTTTCCGTGATGGTCATCCTCCTTGAGTAGGCTGGCGTATCTAGTGTGCTCACCTTTGGAGGTCTCTATTACTGATTATTTGCAAGACCTAAGGCAACTTACTTCCCTTTGTAAGCTTCTGTTTCCTCAACTATAAAACCAGGTTATTAATAGAA